TTAACCAATTTCTGAAGTATTTAATATCCATTTTAAAAAGACATAGTTATTCTTAAAAAGTTGATTTCATAAGCAACAAAAAATATTTCAATGTCAACAAATCAACGACCATATTGAATTTCATTTGACAGTGACAGTTCATTTTAGACACACATTACAGATCACAATAATGTGAAATTTGTCTAGGACCAATAAAAAAATTATGTTTATCCTTTCTTAACCGCTCATTGGCCGTTCACCGACTAAGGCCGATAAACATAACTATTTAATAAATTTTGAACACATCCCTATATTTCGGAACACGCTCTTAGTAACGAATCTAGTTACTTTTCCCTGTGTAAATCGTCTTTTAAATTCGCTCCTACTAGTTTAAATACAGAGTATAGTTAACCAAATTACGTCATAATATATATATATATATATATATATATATATATATATATATATATATATATATATATATATATAATTAAACCAGTAATTAGTGGGTAATGCAGCAAATGAAAGAGTACTTTTTTAAGTTTATTCCAAGCTTTCGGAAATGTTTATTTCCATCATCAGGGAGACTAAAATAAAATAATACCACATATTATGATAAAGTAAGGTAAAACAATTTTTTTGTCATCACTTACATCTTAATTAAGGTTGTTCATTTTAGTGGTATTATTTAGTTTAGTAAAAATACAAAGTAAAATGGACAAGCTGAAGTCAATTACAAAATAATATACACAAACAATAACTACGATACTTTAAAAAATAAAAAATATAAATAACGAAAGGTCAATTTGACAATTTGACATGACAAGTAAAATTTTAAATAAATAACAAGTTATTAGAGGTTAGGAAATAAATGTGGATAATGGTATGTTTACATATCATTAATATTTTTTAAATGTTCAAAGAGTGATTTTTATATTAAATTAGCTCTGTATTATTTAAATTATGAATTTGGTTTGGTTTATTGTCCGAATCCAATAAATAAGAATAAATTACACTTAAATTGTTAATATCTGTCTTTTTGTTCATAGAATTTGGTTCCTGTGAAATGAAAGCCATCTCCAAGAAAAGTCTTTTATGGTAGTTATTTTCAATGGCTAATATTTTAATTTCGTCATAATTTATATTATGTTGATATTTATTAGCATGTTCAGCCAAAGCACAACGTTCTGGATGTAGTCTGCAATCACTCCTGTGGGAGGAGATTCTACCCGAGATAGGTCTTTGTGTTTGACCAATATAGACTTTATTACATTCTAGACAAGGAATGTTGTATACTACATCTGATAATGATTTTAAGGGGGTTTTATCTTTGAGTTTAGAATAGATTGAGCCTATTGTTATTTATTTAAAATTTTACTTGTCATGTCAAATTGACCTTTCGTTATTTATATTTTTTATTTTTTAAAGTATCGTAGTTATTGTTTGTGTATAATATTATTTTGTAATTGACTTCAGCTTGTCCATTTTACTTTGTATTTTTACTAAACTAAATAATACCACCAAAATGAACAACCTTAATTAAGATGTAAGTGATGAAAAAAATTTTTTTACCTTACTTTATCATAATATGTGGTATTATTTTATTTTAGTCTCCCTGATGATGGAAATAAACATTTCCGAAAGCTTGGAATAAACTTAAAAAAGTACTCTTTCATTTGCTGCATTACCCACTAATTACTGGTTTAATTATTAACTAGTCAGCAACGACTATCAACTCTCTTATATATATATATATATATATATATCTTAGATTTTATTAATTATCAAGTTTCCTCGCACCCCCCGCTCTTGACTGCCGTTGTTCTATTCATTATATTAATTGTAATTGATTACTCATTGGAGTAATCACACAAAAATTTGTTTACCTGCTGTTTACCTAATTATTTTTATATATATTTTTTTAATCTCCATGGTTCATTCTTTTTTGTACCAAAATGTTCGAGGTTTAAAAACAAAACTAAATCATATTTATAAAAATTCTTTGAACTGCGATCACGACATCATCTGTCTTACCGAGACTTGGTTGAACAAAAAAATTTTAACTTCAGAGTGTTTCTCTGACTCTTACACTATTTATCGGCGTGATCGAGAAAATTCTATAAACTCAATCAAGTGTGATGGTGGAGGTGTTTTAATCGCGGTTAATAAACAAATGTGTAGTGTTGTGCGAGCCGATTGGTCATCTGATGCAGAAGATCTATGGGTAACTATATATCCGCGAAACGATAATTCGCAAAAATTTAATTTGTGTTGCACTTATATCCCTCCTAAAGATGATATATGTCTCAATATTTTTTGTTCTAAATTAGATGAAATCGTTAATAACAATCCTGATGATATCTTTATTGTCTGTGGGGATTTTAATTTGCCGAACATTGAGTGGTCTTTAGACCCTATAAACAAAAACTGCATTCCGCTTAACTTCACAGATAATAACTCAAACTTATTTGTTGACACAATTTCTTGTTGCGGTTTATCTCAATTTGACGCATTCCGTAATTCTTCCAATGATACCATCGAACTTATTTTAAGTAATAATGTTCAAATTAATAATATTCAAATTTGTACCTCTCCCCTAGTAAATGAAGATATCAATCATAACACGTTGATATTTGAGTTTAAATTACAGAATAAAACAATACTTAATAAAGTGAATGCAAACCAGTCCAAATTTAACTTCTCCAAAGCTGATTTTAGTAAAATTAAGACAGATCTTAATTTAGTTAAATGGAATGAAGAACTATACAATTTAAACACTAAAAGTAGTGTTGAAGTATTTTACTCTATAATTAAAAGAATCATATCTAAACATGTTCCAATTTTTTCAAAAAATAAACTCAAATTCCCTCATTGGTATAGTGTCAATACGGTTAAGGTTATTAGGGAAAAAAAGAAGTGGAAAAATTATAAAAATAAATTAGATTACCTCACTTTTAAGCTGTTGCGGGGCCGATCTAAATACTTAATCGATCTTGATTACAATAATTATATTAACCAAATTGAAGGCTCCATATTATCTGATCTAAAACAAATTTGGCAATTCGTTAAGACCAAAAGGGGTGTGTCGAGTGTTATTACTACTTTAGAAAATAACAATGAAATTATCACGAACGGTCAACAAATCTGCAATGCTTTCTCTAATTATTTTAAATCAGTTTTTAACCCCACTAACGCTAATCCAGCTTTTACAAATCCCAGTCACTCTGAATTTAATAATATATCAAATTATTTTATACCAATCACTACTATTGTTAATAAAATAAAATTACTTACTAATAAAGCACCTGGAAATGATAATATACCTACTTGTTTTTTAAAAAGCTGTGTTGAAGAAATATCTCAACCACTTTTCATCTTGTTTAACAAATCTTTAAATGAGGGATATTTCCCACAAATATGGAAATCTGCGTTGATCGTTCCTATTTTTAAATCTGGAAATAAGTACTTAGTGGAAAACTATCGACCCATTTCAAAATTATGTGTTATTGCTAAATTGTTCGAATCTATATTATGTGACTATTTATACGTCGATTTCAAAAACATAATCAACACTGAAACATGGTTTTATGAAAAAACGATCCATTGATAGTAATTTATTTATTTACTCGCAGTACTTGTTGGATAATATGAACACGGGCTATCAAGTAGATGCTATTTATAGCGACTTTAGTAAGGCATTTGATAAAATTGATCACAATATTTTAATCAGAAAACTTGCAGGAGTTGGTATTCATGGTAGCCTGCTGAAATGGTCTCATCTTATATCAGAAACAGAACTCAATCTGTTAATATAGGGCTGTACAGTTCCGCTTTCACGGAAATCTCATCAGGTGTTCCACAGGGTTCCCATTTGGGACCCATATTGTTTAATATATATATTAATGATATTAAAAACTGTTTTACCTTCTCAAATTTTTTAATGTATGTCGATGACCTGAAAGTGTTCCATAGTGTAACAAATCCTTCAGACTGCCTACTAATACAAAATGACCTATTTCTATATTGTATCGACAATTGTCTCTATCTTAACTTTAATAAATGTTATGCTATCTCCAGGAACAAAATTTTGCAAAATTATTGCTTAAATAACAACCCACTCAATAGAGTATCTCTTATTAAAGATCTCGGCATATTTTATGACTCTAAATTATTATTTGAACATCATGTTAACTATATTACCGTAAAAGCGCGCAAAATTCTCGGCTTCATTATCAGAACTTGTAAAGATTTTAAAAAACCAGATACCATCCGTGTCCTGTACATGGCTTATATCAACAGTATATTAAGTTTTGGGTCCATTATTTGGAACCCTCAATATAACGTGTATATTCACAAAATTGAATCTGTACAGGATAAATTCGTAAAATATTTAGGTCACAAATTTTACCCACCACATTGTAATAATTTAGCATATGTAAAACGCAACTTAAAGCTTATAACATTAGAAGATAGAAGGCAGATGTTCGACATAAAATTTCCTTATAAAATTTTTAATAATTTAATTGACTCTATTGAAATTGTAAAATTTATGCACATTAGTATCCCCTCTCGCAACACCAGGAGTAAATTGTTACTTTATATTGATCACAGTAATACTAATTACCATCTTAACTCTCCTGTTCTCCGTTGCTGTAAATCTTTCAATGCAATCGCAAATCTAGTTGACATCGATATATTTTTTTCTTCCCTAATAATCTTTTCTAAAACACTCAATAATTTTTACTTAAACAATTTATAATAATAATAATAATAATAATAATTTTTTCTTTAACTGTTTAAAATTTGTACATTGTTAAATAATATATCTTACTGTATTTTATCTGTAAACGGTTAACTTTATAACTTACTAGCTATAAGTGAATACTGTTTTTGGGTTCGTCCTGTTTTGTATTTCAACTAAATAAATAAATAAATAAACATATATTTATATATTAGAACAGTATAATGTATTAGATTATGTAAGTGGTTAAGTTTTAAGAAATGTTGCAACGTCGGCATGACCCTTATCAACTTTTTGTGTTACTTGGGGATAAATACATATATTTCAAGCTGCAAGTTTTCGAGAAATTTACGTTCTTTTTGAATACTTACTCCTTTTTTGTTATCTTGATAAAAAAATCAGATTTTTTTCACAATCGTTAAAAAAATATTTGACTAGAGAATCTTAACGAGCGGTGAGACCAACACTAAAAACGCAAATAGAAGAAAAACAATACAAAAAAAACATTTTATTTTCTTATACTATTTACAAACTAAATATTTACAATTAACAAATATAACAAAATACTAAGTTACCACATTTGTACCACGTTTCATAAACAATCGTGCCTGAAGAATTCTTTCAAACAAGTTTTTTTTTTCATAAAATGAGTGCGTGAATGTCTTCTAAAAGGAACTTTTAAAAAAACTCTTGGGCCAAATAAAGAGTCATTAGTTGTAAAATTACTAAAAATCGATTATGGCGTTAAATCCATATTTGGAAATAACATAACAGTTAAAATGAGAGCGAATTAAAGAGAGATGAATAAGTTACAAAAACTGTATATTTCGACTTAATTTTTACTTCTTTGGTGTGTATATTAAAAAAATATACGTTTATCTGTTACAGTTTTATAGTAAAAACTTTCTAACCAAGTAATATACAAATGTTACATACAAAAACAAAAAATGCTCAAAAGAAAATGTAATTGCTTCCATGTAAAAATTCAATAAAACCAAATTATATCTATCAACTTAATGAAATGGTAATGATGTTTCCTTTTTATTAGCATTTTTCGTTATGTATAAAAATTATCCACTTGTGATGTATATAACAGTGTAGGCCAGTACCCAGATGTTTTGAATATGATTTAATAAGAAATAAACATTTTTTTTATTTTTATGAGCCTTCCTAAAACAACTATGTGTAAAAGACAAAAGTTTTTTTTCTTAAAAATTTAACATTAAATTAATTTCGACAAAAAATAATTCTAATTATATAATCTAGACCTTATATCGGGTGTTCAAATTAAAGTGTTACAGTTAAATACCGCCGAAAATATGCATTTTAGAAAAAAAAGTTTCAGACAAAAGTTTTATAGTTTTTTGGGGGAAAAATTCTGGCTAAATTAATTTTTTTATAGCTGACCATAATATGGCCATATCGAGGTGAACTTTGTTTTTTTGAATGGGAATTCCATTTTTTTGTTACATATTCTTAAAGTACATAAATAAATAAGAAACTTTTGAAGGAAATATTTTTTTTATTGGACTTTTACTTTTTGAGTAACAGCTAATTGAAAATGTTGCTGCGCGAAAAAAAAGTTGGCCATATTATGGTTAGCTATAAAAAACGATGTTAGCCAAAAGTTTTTCCCTACAAAACTATAAAACTTTCGTCTGAAACGTTTTTCTTATAAAAAGCGGTATATGGCTGTAACGCTTTAATTTAGAACACCCGGTATATAGAATGATCTACAAGAAATATTTCTACAGTAAGCCATGGAATAATTCACGCATATCGAAGCCTACATTTGTTATTTGGATTTAATTTAGAGCCGTGCGTAGTTATCACGGAAATGGCTCATATCGCTGTCGGTCATGGCTTTTTCAAAAACATTTTTTGTAGACCAATCTTTAATAAGCAGAATATTAAGTTCTTTGAATTAATAATAGAACTGACAAATCGTTAAACATAAATAAAATACATCCGAAACCAAAACAATAGCAAATATTCCTAATTATGTCAGTTGCAAGTCTAAGGTTCCTAAAAATCGAACTCAGATGAGTCGGACTCAGCTCGAGTTTGTCCTTGAATAAAAATTAAATTTCAGTTATATCGCGAGAATTTAGAAATGGACAGTAACAAATCCGTGAATATTCTTTACATTTATTGATTTGCTACTGTCCATCTCTAAATTTTAATGCAACATTGTAACCACCTAGAACTATACGACTTTTGACTTCTGTTCAAGGACGAACCTGAGTCAGTTCAGTTTATAAATATGGGCCTAATTTATACTTGGGAGGACTAACCTAGTTAACCAGCGAAATAATTTAACTAAATAAATAAGGGCAAATAAAATCGGACCAACCGAAATAAACCTGTTATACACACCACGCGTAGTTAGGTACGTAAAGTCAAATTGAACACAACGGTTGAGATTATGTCTAGACAATAAAACTATTAACACATTTTACAACGGAGGGCGTCGATTATAGTGGAAGAAGGCACAATTGGTCCCGTATCTCTTTCGTGCCTCACCCCGGAGATTAATCTATTCTATATATTCCAAAGGGTTATCGACTATACCAACGTCCATGTAGAGACGCATTTTAGTTTAACGGGGCAACAGGGCCCCGGGCACAATAACCATCTAATGACACACTTAAAATTTTTAAAAAAAGTTAAAAAACACAAAAATTGACAAATATTAATTACCAACTAGTCTTTACTGGTAGATACATAATTAAGTCCATGCAGAAAGATCTGTCATCTATACAATTGACTCTCAATATATCCTAATTATGTCAATGATTAGAAATAAGTGCCAAGTAGCAAATTGAAGATACTATGAGTCAAATAAGCTAACCTAAATTGATGAGTAGGTCAGTTGCACCTTACTGACTGATAATTATGCTACTTGAAGAAACCAAAGTCAATCAGCAAGTACAACTGCCATAGTAATTACTCAATAACTCTAATTGGCAAATAAACAAATAATTTTGAAATTTTTATATAAATAAATTATTGTTGCAAAAAGCAAATTTATAGATAAATACATATCTTTTTGCACGAGAAGGAACGATATAGTATCTATTTTGCTAATCAAGTCTACTACGTTGGATAAATAACGTCACTGGCAACACCGATATTACAGAGTTTCTTCTCGTGTGTATGCAAAGCACTACCGTAGAGTTAATCTTACCGGCATTGTAAAATGAACTAAGAATGTTCACTTTTATTGTTTACAGCTATGAAACTATATTGAATTGCAATACTACAAAATCGAACAGACGATTATGTTGACTAGACAACTTAAAATAATTGCAGGAGAATAAAAAGAAGGATAATAAAACGAAACAAAAAAAAAACAAGAGTAGGTGTCATATAATAAAACATAAAAACATAACAAAGAAAACAAAAATTATTTGTAAAAGTGCGATAATGGACCGAAGCAAAATAGTAAAATTATCGCCCCAACTTAACAGGATATATTAAAACGTAAGGCGTAAGCTAAAGGGCTTATGGCATGTGATGAAGAAATCTGTATATAAACCAAAATATAAATATGTTAAGGTATAAGGGAAATCTTTTTACTTCCCTCAATAAGAGGAAGGTATTGTAATCCTAAGAAAGTCACCAATTCGAGGTTCTAGGTAAAATACTTTACTGATTTTTTTTGATCCTGAGAGAAAAATACTGATAAATAATAAATGAAATTAAAGCTGTGACACGGATTTTTAGAGATTTGCTCGTTTTATTTCATATTCATTTTCAAACACTGTCACATTTGATAACTTGGAATTATCACCACAAATAATAAATACCTAGAAAAGCACTATTTAGTTACTTAAATATGCACTAATTAAAAATAACAAATTTATACATATAAACTCTACGTTAGATATACAAACACACAGTGTTTTTTAAAATATTAACTGACCAGTACTTTTTATTGTTTTATACTAAATGTCATAATTTTATTTTAAAGATAGTAAGTGTGATATATAAAAACAAATATAAAACAAGGAGCTAAGTTGGCTGTTCTATGCAACAATAAAAGTGAACAATAAATAAATGGCATTTTCCAGTTGATGTGTCATAAAAAATAATATTGGAATATTTAAATTAATCAATTTTAAATTTGCTATAAAGCACTGTTTCAGGTGCAGGTATAAAATATTTGTACTAAAACAATACTGAACTTTGAGACGTCGAGCTCATTGTTGGCCCGGGGCGCTATATCCCTGGATTCGTCCCCGCGCCCTCACGAGATACATAAAAAAGGCACTGATAGGATCAGCATATCACAAGATTTGGTCGTACCAAAAACACATTTTACGACCTCATCAGTGGGCATTGGAATGTAAATAATTTGCTATTTGAGCTCGTGCATATTTTTACTTAATAACAAATTATTGTGAGGTCCCGACAAATGTCTTATTAATTCAGGTAAAGATTCAAAAGATAACGGACAGAAACAACAGTTGAACCTACCGGAATTTCCATCGTTCGAAGATATAACATTTCTATGTACAGAACACAAGTGTTTCAGTAAATGTGCTTTTTGTTTAAACATAGCCACACATAACCGACACGCAAATGGTTTTTCACCAGTATGCACTCGCAAATGAGTCTTTAAATTCCACGACATACCAAACTGTTTTCCACAATATTCACAACGATATTCACGAACTTGAACTGTCGGTAAAGACTGTTTACTACCCGTGGCATGAGAAGAACTTTCAGCTGCGTCATCATTGCTGCTTGAGAAGGAAGGCGGGGGATCTCGAGAATCATCGTTGCCCGAGGGAGCGTTCACTTGCGTTTGGCACAGTGACCAAGCTCCCCAGGTATGTTCGAATGTTTGATAGGAATCAGATGCTAAGCCCTGATCTGCACTGGGAGGTCTGTATTTGACAACAACATTATCTGGAGCTCCAGAAGTATCAGGATGTTGACCTGGTGTTGGAGTTCTGTCCACCAAATAAGGAGGTGCAGATAAGGACAGCGGGTGGTGGGCTGCTAACAAAGGAGGCAGATTCTTATACCTATGGTGATGGTGAGTTGTATCTTCAATGTATGAAGGGGAGAAAGGAACGAATGGGGGATTTTGTGCTGGCGAATTGTGGAATCCAGGCCTTCTTTTTCTATGTGGTGTCACTACGTAGTTGTCAGGGCTCTGCACCAAAGTAATCAACTTTTGGTCAACGATAGGAGGTTTCAGTTGGGACAGATCGTCTTGATGTTTTAGATCTATGGGTTCTATATACATGCTTTTACGTTTCATTCGATGGTGATGAAACTGCGATAACTCGTGTACCTTTGGAGCTATTTTCACTGTAGATTGACCAATTTTTAACACATCTAAGTTTTTATTATCTGATTTCTGTAAAAGAAAGAATATAATTAATGATAATATTATACTGTTAGCCTTAAAACTTTTCCTTTGCCAAACTGATGTCTGATAAATAATCTTTTTAGTTTTAATGATTAAAGCATTAGACGAATCTAGCAACCAGGGCTTAATAGAATTAATAGAAATACTTTTATTTTAATTAGTTTATTTAGTAATAAGTTAATTGTTCTTTATAATATTACATTTTATTTTCCAAATGTGGTACTTCGTTAAGTTGAACAGTTCTGCTGACTTCCCCGAACATTAATAAAATACGGACCTTCTATTATTATTTCAAAAAGGACGAGAAATAAAACCAAATATGTGAAGTTAAACTTTTTACTTTAACAAAGAACGTTAGCAAATTAGGCAATGACCGATAAAGACAGAAGAAAATCAACTAGGCACAGCTCTGAATTAAATTCACACTGACACTCAAAAAAAAAAAAAATAGAAGAATTGAAACGATACAGTTTCAAAAATTTAATACAAGAAACAATATTTCTTAGGCATTTTTTAAATATATTTATCTTTGTCATATTTTATTTAGAGAATTGTGGGAAAACCCCCAGTATACAAACGGCAACGGAAAAATGTAGAGAAAGCCATTACTATAACTAAAGTGACCCAGAGATGTTATAGAAGTAAGTATTACTGTAATGTATGTCTAAATATTTTGAAATATTTCTATTATACTGATTATTTTCTTCTCAATTTTAACACTTATTATTAAAAGCTTCAAAATGTAAATTTGAATGATCTATAAATATCTTAAATAGTATGTATATTTATATAACATATATATACGGAGTGGCCCAAAAGTCTGGAAACGGCCAATTATCTCGTAAATTGCTAGTCCAAATTGTACAAAATTTAGGGTACACCTATTTTTGAGATACGGAAATTTTAGATTTGATATTTGCAATGTTGCCAGATTTGCCGTTTCTCTTGTATTATTAGTCTCTTTGGTTTTTCAAACGTTAAAGAATCTGAATATTTTAAAAATGTTCGTTGTCTATGTAGAGGTAATGTTTGTGGTATGAGATACTTATGCCGAGATATATTGGAAATAAATTTTACATAATATCAAAGTGTAAAGATTGTATTTACATAACTTTTATTTATATTATTAATTTGTATTATAATTATTTGCTTCATATTTTTAAATTTTTACTATTGTATTGCTATAAGTTTTATTTATTTTTATTTTGTCGTATTTTTTGTCACACCCAATCTGTCATTGTACTTTGTACAGTGAGCAGATTCAGTGATACATTTCTTGTTTATTTACATTTTATTTCCTATTGGATTTTATTGTATCTGAATGTACATATTTCTGGTAAATAAACATTATTATTATTATAAATTTATCACCCTGTATATTCAGTCATTATTGGAATCTCCCATTCAATTAGGCATTCCAAACAAATGAATTGTCAGTGGGAAGGTTTTGTATATCTAAGGGTGGCGACATACGGTGTATTCTATCTTCTTTACGTAAATTCATGAATAATGGATTACATTTAAATATTTTATGTCAAACACAATAAAAATAATATTTAAAAAGCCCACCTATACACTTCTTTATAAATTGGCAGGCTTGGCGATTACTACTTCGAATGAAAATAGCGTCCAAGTTGCAAGACTATGTCGCTACCCCCTTAGATATACAAGAATTTCCCACTGGCACCTATTGTTTGACAGGTCGTTGGAATGCCTAATACGAGTTGAACCATATGTAACACATGATTTAATTTAGTCTAGATGGTCTTAAATAAATATGTAGAAATTTAAATGTTTAAAATCTAGTATGCTCAAAATTTGACATTTGTTCACCATTTACTAAAACTGACAGTAGTTTGATGTATTTTCAAAAGGAAGGAATTACTATTCTAATGATAAGAAGGTATGGCGACAGAAAAAGATCTTATTGTGAAGTAGCCAACTTGTTTAATGATACTTTCCCAAACCCTTTCTCCTATTCATAAGGCGACGGTAAACGGTAAAAAAAACTGTAAAGCGCTTTGAAGAATCTGGAGGATTAAATGATAGATACTGATCTGGATAGCTATTCTTGAATTCGAGGGAATAGAAAACCAGTTTTGCCTCTTTATCTTCAACGCCCAAAATTTGTATTTTTGTCTCATTCTTTCCTCAAAATTTCTACTTACTAGGAAAATTTTGCCAGTGGCTTACTAGGAAAATTTTCTAGTTAGCACTGGGAATGTTAGCCGAGGCCACAAATGTGTGGTTGGCTCCTTGAGTGATCTCCTGTTGTTTTGATTTCATTGCTAGTTCCATTCTCTATTGAACTTGGCTGGACCATACTGATAAAGACCAATAATAAGAAACACGTGTCTACGGTTTGCATTTAGGCATTTTTTGCGGTATCTACCCGATAGTTCCTTTTTTTTTGTATATATTGTAACGGTTTGGCTCTACGGACGAGACAGTGCCAGGGTTTGCCACAACAGTACGAGACAACGAACCGTCAAGGTGACAGGAAACCCAACCTACAATCGGGCAGGCTGACAGAAACTGGCAGAAAGTGTGAAGAATGATCGAGAACGGTCATGGAAGCGGTTACTATAGATTGTTGATGATAGGACACTGTCAATTTGGAGTGGAAGATAGAAAGCCGGTCAGCGCGTGGCAGATCAACGTTTCAATTGTAAATAGTAATAATTGTAAATAGTTTACGCGTTCGGATAGTTATTTTTGTATTTTAATTAAATAAATAGTTTCAACCCACACTCGTGTTACAATTGGTGTCAGGTGTGGGGTAAAGAAAGAAGATGTCTAAGAAGATAAATCAGTTGCTGGTTGCAGAGCTCAGAAGAGAGCTAGAAGAATTTGAGCTAGACACGACGGGACCCAAGACGGTGTTGGTAGCACGTTTGAGGGAGTACTACGAAAGTCGAGGTGACGATCCTGATGCCATAGAGTTTGAAGATCCCTCCCTGAAGGCTGTGAAGTCCTTTATCCACGCCGAGCTTGCCGAAAAGATGTCCAACCTGTCCACCGAGATGTCCCTTCAGTCTACGAGGGTTAATGAAAAACTTTCTAAACTCTCCACCGAGATCTCCGATCAGCAAAATGAGCTTGCTAAAAAAATGTCCAGCATGTCCACCGAGGTTCATGAGGTTAATGAAGAAGTGTCCAACCTCTCCCGGGCCATGGCTAACCAGGCAGCAGAACTGCGAGCAGAAATTTCCCAGCAGGAAGAAAGAATAACCGGTGTGATTGCACAACAGGAAGAAAGAATATCCGGTGTGATCGCTCAGCAGGAGGAAAGAATATCCGGCGTCGAAGAAGAGATCCAGAAATTACAAGATTTCCTGTCCAATCCGCCACCTCCTGGAAGCAGAGAAGAGGAACCCAACCCCGTGGTAGAAAGGCTGGAGAGCAATCTTTCAACTCTCGAGATCAAGCTCCAGGCGATCGAAGAACGATTCTCCCGCCAGTCTTCAAGAGGTGAAGATCGACGAGACTTCAGCGCTGTAGGTGAGACCAAAGCCAGAATGAAGCCACCTACCTTCGACGGCAAGACCTCCTGGCCCAACTATCTCAAGCAGTTTAACGCAGCGGCCGACGCCAACGGATGATCTCCTGGGGAGAAGGCAGTAGCACTCACAGTTGCCCTACGTGGTGATGCTTTAGATGTCCTGCAGACCCTCCATTCCGACGAGTCCAAAGACTTCGATCAACTGGTGAAGCGTCTAGAGATGAGGTACGGCCAAGCACACCTGGAACAAGTCTACCAGTCCCAACTTAAGAATAGAAGACAGAAGGCAGGTGAGTCCATCCAGGAGTTCGAAGCCGACGTTGCACGGATGGTACGCTTTGCCTATCCCTCGGCCCCTGAAAGCGTACTCGAATGCCTAGCTGTCCAAGCGTTCGTCGATGGAATGAGAGACCAGGAGTTGCAGAGAGCACTGCGCCTAGCCCGTCCTAAGGTCCTGGTGGATGCACTGTCAACGGCGTTGGAGTTTGAAGCAGCAACTGCAGCGTCCCGTGCCCATGACCGAGTCCGAGCCATCACCAGCCACTCCAGCGAAGAGGAACACCATGGAGAGTCCAACAGGGAGATCCTAGAACAGCTGGTGAGCCTGATGAAGACTATGGCGACGAAGAAGAGGAGATCAGTACGATGTTGGAGCTGCGGAGAACTTGGTCACGTCAGAAGTACATGCCAGCATCGTGACAAGACCAACCTGCAGTTAGCTAGCGACCGAATGAAGAAGTATTACGACAGCCGAGCAGCAGAGTCCTGCTATAAGGAAGGTGACCCTGGTATGGCTCTACAACCCACGAAGAAGGCGGGGCTTATGTCCAAAGCTGCAGAAGAGCTGGGAGGGTCCATATGTCATCAGGAAGAGGATCAATGACGTAGTCTATCGAATCTACAAGGCTCCCCGAGGAAAACCGATAGTAGT